AAAAAAAAAAAAAAAAAAGGAACATATACCTCATAATCCAAGTCTCCATTTTCCATAGGTTCTTCTGCTTCTTCCTCTTCTTCTAATTCCATGTTTCTAAAAGTTTCTACAAGGCTTGCGGTTGATCTGTCAGCTTGTTGCGCGTATTCAGCAGCCGGAGGATAGTTTCCCCTTACAACAAAAATAGAAAAAAATATATTCTATATATATTAAAATGTTGACTCCTAAGACAGGTTTCAGTTCCTTCCAGTAAACATACCAAAGTTTAGCTATGAGAAGAACTCTCCAGGCAGAACAAAAAAAAAAAAGTTAAATAATATATATTTGGATGGATTTTGATTCACAACTTCATTTTATTACCTCGCCTCAGCAACTTTAGATTCAACAGCAAGAGCAACTTGCCAGTCATCAAACAAATTCGTGTATTCTTCTGGATCAGCAAGAGACTCTGCAGCTTTCTGATTAATCTGCAAATTCGTATTTATATAAGCAATAAAATGACTTGATCGACTCCAGATGAAATCAGCTTTAAGAATCCTGAGTGCTGGAATAGACAAAAACTATAACATAGATATAGGCAAAAACGATAACCTTATTCAGGTCCTTTCTCCAAACGCCAACAATTTCTGACACCTTACTTGGAAGGTAAGAACGAGCCACCAATGCAGCTTCAGGTATCCGATCACTTAAAAAAAAAAGAAAAAAAAAAAGAAAGGAAGAAAGAAAGGGAAAAAGATAGTTTTATTATGGAGACAAAATGGTGAAATAACCAAGACTGAAGTAATGAAAAAGTTTTACCTGTCGACCAACAACTGAAGGCAGTCTTCTAATTTACCCAACATAAATAGACAAATAAAAGCAACATTGTTTTTTCCATGCTCTTTGGCAAGAGATGCAAGATCGGCAATTCCTTCCGCATCACCCAAGGAGGAATAGAGTAGCAATAAGCCACTCAAGTCATTTGCTTGCTTCAAACACTCCTCTGCTGTCTCCAACTAAGACAGAAGCATAAATTTAAAAAATACCAAAAAAGAAAAAGAAAGAAAGAAAGAAAGCAATGATAATTCACCCAATTGCTTGATAGAGGTGAGCAGCAGTTTATCACGTGTGAGAAAATAAAATTCATCAAGTAAATTCTAAATAATATTCAGTTAGATCCTAATGAAAAAGAGATACCATTCCAGTAGACAATGCTAATTCACCCAATTGCTTCCATTTGGACTCACTATGTGCTGCAGTTGCAATTTCCTGTAGAAAAAGTAACAGAAAATTTGCCCTGTTAAACTACATACTAATCTTGATAACAAAGTTCCAGTACAGAATTATCTTTTAAAGAATGTCAAGGAAACAGATTGGAAATGCTTCGCAAGGATTTTTGTTTAACCTACTAGACAAGTAGACAGCATTCACCTTTGTGATTTCCAGTTTGCCTAGATTTATGGCCAACTCAAATCTGTAGTCGGGATCTGTAGCTACTTCAAGAGCATCCTCGACCATTCCTCGTGATTCCAAGAAATGGGCCACACTGTTAATTAAAATTCAAAAACAAAAACAAAAAAAAAAAATGATTCTAGGAATAAACAACGCCAGATTCATTTCATATCCCCAAGATACATATTTCAGTATTAGCTAACCCGTCCAAAACCCGGAAGTCTTAGGGCATGCTTGTTTACAAATTAATTTATTCACATTTATTTCATACTCAAAATAAAACTCAACTTTAACTCAACCCCACATCACATCAACTTTAATTCAATATTCATACTCACATAATTTTAACTACGTATCATTTCCAATCATTTATCTCCTACTTTTACATCATCAACTTTAATCATTTAATTTTGAATATTATTTAATTCTTAAAATTCCACTAACAACTAACCATACCGCCTTTTCCAAAATTAACTATGGTTAACCAAAAAAACTCATTTGGAACGAATTATTTGATAAACAAGTACGCCCTTAGTCTTTGTAGTTCTTCTTTGTCAATTTACAGAGAAGAAAGGAAAGCATGTGAAAGATACATATCAGCTAAAATGATGATTAGCTCATAAACTCGGACCACCACATACTGGTTTTAAACACTGCAATATTACAGAAAATCATGCATAGATGATAGATCACGTAAGAAATAAGCAAATTAAATTAGCAATCAACTACAGGGTAAAAGGTGATAAAACACCTGTTATGATGCTCCTTTGGTATGGATGGTAATATCTCATTAGCCCTTTCCAGATCACCGCGCATTACAAGAGTCTTGTACTCAATCAAGCTAAGCAGCAACGTATATCCTATAACGCTGCCAAAAAGTATTCGCATATAAATGGTAATAAAACCAGCTGCTACTGAGTATGCATATAGTGAAGGAGACTTGTGAGAAGTACTCACTTAAACTCTTTGTCGACAAGATAAACACGGCTCTGACTAGCAAGATATCCAAGCAGATACATAGGTCGGTATAAATGGAACATAGTCGTCACCTACAAATTCAAATGCACAAAAAATGATGAATATAGATTCTTAGAACAAATAAGTGATTCTCTCTCGCGTACTGCATCCAACTAAAACAGAAAAATACACATACCTCACCGCCCACACAGTAATTAAGTCTCCATGACGAGTTATTGTAAATAAAACAATCCCCAACCCAAATTCCAGTCCGCACTCGTTCATTAATTTCATAAAGAAGCTCAAAAGCATCCTCCACGCCTTGTTCATCCACTGACCTCCCACTATCCAGATGAGCAGAAACTACATTTCGCTGCAAAACATGCAAGACTCCAACAGTTACCCCAAAAGTTCAGCAAATATCATACTAGACAATGAAGATGATTCATATGCTTACATTATACTTGAGAATGTAAAATGATGTGTCACTGGCAATGGTGACCAAATCACCGCTATCAGCCCAGTAGAGATTCTGGGATATAATTGCGAAGAAATGGAAAAAATTAAACAAATTACCTCTTTTAAATCCACAATAATGACATGTAAAAAGCATACTAGTCATACTTGCTTACTTTAACATTGACATCAATTCTTCTTATAAGCCTGCACTCAACCCAATCATAAAAGCAAATAAAATCATTTGAGCACATGGCTAATAAAGTTCCGCCATAGATATGCTCGGCAGAAAACGTGGGACGGATGCTTTTCTTTTCCTGCATAAAGAAAGAAAAAAAGAACAAGTTTAACAATTTCGCACAAAAGCTGCTCAATCCAACAAGAAACAAACTTGTGCAATTTATTTAACTTGAAAAATAGAGGACAAATAAAAGAAGACCAGGCGGACAAGAAATCCAAGAATAGCAACAGTAAAAATTAAACCTAACAAGAAGTCAGGAAATAGAAATGGTTAAAAAGGACTATGAGGTGTGAAAAACCAACCAAGAAATTTTTACTGAATATCTTGATCTTTGATGTACTTTCTCTAACAGCATATTCTCCTTCGGTTGACCAAACAAATTCCAATGCTGAACCAAATGATCTGTTTCTCCAAGCCAAAGCAGTGTAAATTATATAATCACCGTCCCCGCACACAACAACAAACCTACCATTAGGGTTGTGTTTCAGGTTCTGCAAGAAAAAATAAAAAATAACTAAGTCAACAGAAACTTCGAGTTCTTGAAGAACTCTAAGATATACACTAGATAACTACATGTACAGAATTAAGACTATGTGATAATCACATATGTTTTGACTTTTGAGCTCTTATTATGACTATCAATATATCAACAAATTAAGAAAACAAAGGCCCAAAACAGAACATCCATATTCTTTATCCCAATACATATACCTCACAAATTATTTAAGCATACAAAACCTAATAATACATGTAGAATTAATAAAGTTAAAAAGAGAGATAAAAAAGGATTAAGTATCCGTGCAACAAGATTATAGACATATCTTGCTTGCATTAATACTAAAGCAGGACGGACATGGAATCAAAATATGATTAAAGTGGTTTAAGAGAAAATAACCTGTGGATAAAGGTCACAGGTTCCCAATTCCTTAACAGCCAAAGGCAATCTCTCTCCGTCAGAAACCTGAGCAAAAATGTAAAGTGATTTCAGTCAATGGAGCTCAAAAGGTTATAAAACGTCCAAGCCGATTCACACCTCGTAATCTGCTCCAACACTCTTAATGTTGACAGTCTGAATTTCATTATGCTTAGCCCAAATGATTTTCCCGCTGTTGTCCATACTGGCAACAGGTACCTCTCGACCAAGCTTTACCATAATGGTTCCTTCATCGTATCCAATTACAACCCTGAACACCAAATCCATTAATTTCAGGTGCAATCTCAAGTATAACACAAAGGATTTCAAAAAATTAGAGCGACGGTCTCTAATATTTGTTATCTTGCCTATATGGAGACCTTAATTAAAGCCTATAACAAGCTTATGGATGCAGATAAGACATTGGATGCAAAGGTCAATCATGGCTACTTCACTCAAACTCATATCCCAATTTGTGGAAACAATGTAACTTTGTGCTTTGAGGCACCAACCATTATAAACTCAATGTGAGTGTTAGCGACAGTATTAAGACTGGAACTACATAAACGAAAGATTCCCACCAACCAGCCAAAAGAACAAACAGCAAATCAACTTACCGTCTCGAACCTTTCATGTAGCCAACCGCCCAAACTCTTTCAAGACCATAATTTAAGGTGTTCTCAAGTCTGCAAGATGATGTAGTTGATTAGAACCAACTCACGATCTCATGCAATAACAATCATAGAAGCTCATAAACTATCTCATGATTTAAGAAACAAGTGGAAAATAAATTTCATGTAAGAAATATTGTAATAAAATATTTAACTTATAATACTTGATGAGTTAGGCTGAGAAGAATGATTCCAGAAATTAAGTCATCTCCTGCCACAATTACCTATAAGTGGTGGCATGCCATATCCGGACAGTACCATCCTCGGAACCTGTAATTATTATGGGAAGCTCAGGGTGGAAACAAACTGCTGAAACGTTGTGTGTATGGCCTTCTAGTGTCTGGACACAGCTCTTTGTCTGATAATCCCACACCTGTTGTTACAAACCTCCAAGACAGTTTTAGTATTTTGTTCATAGGAACTCATGACACTAAACATAAGAAGGACAAATTAAGACAAACCTTAGCAGTATGATCATCAGAACCAGTAATTAAATAAGGTTTATCACCACCGGTGAAATAATCGACACAGTTGACTCCTTTCAGATGTGCATCTAGGGTAAAGTTTGGGTCAGGGGAACCAAGATTCCAAATCTACAAAAACAAAACATTAGTCGCTCATAATTGCCATGTCAGGTTTGATAAAAGCCTAAAAAAGTGAGAAATGAACAATTCCATCTTTAGGACCTTAATGGTGCGATCAAGGGATGCACTGGCAAAAGTGTTGGTGTCCTTCGGATTGAATGTCACTTGCATCACATAATGAGAGTGACCCTCGAATATTTGAGTGCATGCCCATCCTTTTTCCCAGTCCCAGAGCTTTATTAGCATATCATCTGAGGATGACAACACGTATGGAAGTGTCGGATGGACAGCCACACACCTAATATAATCTGTATGTGCCTCGAATACTTTAACCTTATCCATTGTGTTGTAATTGTGAACGCGGATAAACATGTCATCAGCACCAGCAACCACCCACTGCTTTCGTGCTATAAACTTAGCTGACCTAACTGCAACATACATGGCATGTATTTTAAGTGTTGAAGGGCCTCAGTATCACCAAGGTGAAAAGGTTCTAGTGAGGTATGAATAACGAATACATAATTCAAATCGCACACCTGGTAGTTCCGTAACCTCAAATGATTTGACCATTGTCTGCAGCGGCAGAATCCAGGTTAAGAATGTAATTTAGGATATAAAGAAAATGAACAACATAAAGTTTATCAGAAAAAACTGCAAAATATGCAGGGGCACTTATGACTGCACATCATTTTAATTCAGAAGATGCAACCAAATAGTCAAAAGAATTTCATCCTGATGAAACTTGAATCTCAACTTGCAAATTGGTCAATCGTAGAAGTCAAACTCATAATTAACGATTTTCAAACATACAGCTGAGAAGAGGATATGGGAATAAAAATAAACCATAAATTTGTAATATCATTCTCGTATAACTTTTATATGCACTATGTTCCAAAAAGTCGAGAAGGGAGCTTCTCAGTTAAGATTTCGCTTAACAAGAGATTAGCCCATTTTCATTACAGAATCGACGAATCTCTCATGATTCAGCTAGTTTTTCTAACTTCAACATTAAGAAAACAGAACTTAGTAACTACACAGACATCACAGAATTACCCGTGGGACACATGAGACCAAGTTGTCAATCTCTCATGACGAGATAAAAATACTTGGTCAGCTGCATTATACATACCTGGGTTTGATAATTGTAAATGCCAACAGTCCCTGAATACAAACTTGCCAATATCCTGTGCAAGCGCCACATATTCAGGTCAAGAAAATTGTAAATTTTAAACTGGAAACAAATATATAAAAAGACAGAAACATGACATAGCTAAATACACCCAAAGAACATATCAAACCCCTTTTATTACTAGAGTTGCAAAAGACTAGAACTTGTAGGCTTTGACCACATGAATGTATACAAGAGAAAACAAAATAAACTTGTTCGTAAAATATCTAATATGATATAAGAATACGACCATCCAGCCATAATTTCTAGGTTCTACGAAAAAAAAGTCTGGTGCGGCTAAAAGAATAGACATACGGGCAAGAAAGTAGGCATTTTGATCTAGTGTACGAAAATACCATGGCTCAGTTGGGTGTAGATCCACAGATTTCACTCTTTCTGACCTTTGAGCAAGTTTCCTCTGATGCAATATGAAAATTCAGCATACAACAATCAATCAATCACACACAAGCAAGGAAACACAACACAAAAGAATGAAACACACACACACACACACACAAAAGAAATGATCATATATTGATTCAAATGATTTCAGTACCTTGATTTCAAGTCTGAGCGGCTGCAGCACACAGCAGGTAAATTCAGTAGCAGAAAACAAACAATCAAAACAATCAAGTTAGAAGGAACTAATACCAACTCCCAGATCTTAAGCACCACCAACCCATCAAACAAGCTGAAATTCAAAAGGCAATGAACCAGCATTGATTGAAATTGAAAAACGAAATGATTTTAGAACCATGAAACTGAAACCCAACCAACGGAAAGCATCAAATCCAATATCCCAATCACAAACCTATAATCACATTTAAAAGATGACAAGATACAAGGCGTCTCACCATTTTTCCGTCAGAAGTGAATCTGTATCAATTGAGAGAAAGTGCGAATTTTTAATATAACTCAAAAACTTGGAGGAGATGAAGGCAAATAATTTCAACTTTCAAGTTCGTATTTCGTTTTTCCAATTATTATTTTATCAGTTGAATTTTTTTTTTATTTTATTTTTTTTTTTTGGCAAGAATTGTATTTTTACATTACATATTGTTAAGTCTATACGGAAAATTCTTCTAAAATCCCTACTCCATAATTCATTTTCCTTGTCAGTCCCTATTCAATTTAATTTTCCTCTCCACTCCCTAATACACATTTTTCTTTCCTCTCAACTCCCCATATAAATACTATTACTATTATTATTCATTTATTATTCATAAAATCACAAAAAATAATGTCAGAAAAAAAAAAACACCGCCCCAATTTTGACGATTCTCCTCCACCCCAGAAAAATCCATCTTCTCCTCTCTGTGTTCCCGCAGGCGACGGCGACGCCTCCGCACCTTCCCCTCGCTTTCGCCGGAAGTTATAACATCGCCGCGACATTCGATTTCTTCGCCGCGGTTTTCCAGGCCCTCTTCTTCCGCCTCACCTTCTGTCGGGTTCCGCATGTTCCGGAAGATGAGCCAATAGAAAGGACCGGTAATGGATTTCGAAGGAGATTTTGAAGATCAAGCACCTCCGCCATTTGATTGAGTTGCACGGTTTTCTTTTTCCTTTCTTTTTTTCGTTAATCTTCTCGTAAATCCCAGTTCATTCTCACAGGATTTTGGTATAGCTGTAGTTTTCTCTAGTTTATCTGGTTAATTTGTGGATTCTTATTCTGGTTCGTGATGTGGGTTGAATTTCTTTTTTGTTGACATGATTTTTTTTTTTTGGTCTTTCATGTGATTCTTGTTTGTTTTCCCTAATTTAGTTCCAAAATTTGTGTTATATTAAGAAATTGGACAAGTATACTAGGTGAATTGTCAACAAAACAGTCATGGAGTGGCAAGAATTTGGGAACATAAGCTCGCAGGAGAACTCTTTCATTTTGTAACTGGCTTTATTTACATTCTTGATGGGCTGTTTGTGGTTTTTGTCTGTGGCAAGTTTAGGATGTATCATATTTCCAGATTTCTAGTTGTTGCGGTAGTCCTTTTTTGTCTAGTGTCTTTAAAACTTTTTTGTTGTTGCTTTGGGCAGGATTAGAAGATTAGGCTTGCTATGAAAGTCCTTTTGCATCTAGTGGACTTTATGTCTTATTTTGTTGGTTTGGGAAGGTTTAGTAGTTTAGGCAGGTTGATCCCTGGTTTCGGGTCGTCCCGACTTTAGGCCATTTCATTTGGTCCTCTTATTCCCATCCGATATGTACGTTGTTTCAAACGTTGTTTGATATTTAATGAGATTCCTATCGTTTGAAAAAAAACAAATACTAGGTGAATTGAATTGATGTTGTGTGTACATTGAACTGGTGAATGATGCTGGGGAAATTCTCAATTGAAATTCTAGGGTTGATAATTCTTGAAAAAATTGAGATCCGAAATTGGAATTGGGACCCTTGTGATTGGTAATGGATTTGCTTGATTGAGTTGATTGAACAGGTCTTTTTGCACACTGATGAGCCCAGCGGCTCGAGAACTGGGCCCGATGGCATACGGTTCGATTCGTGTCAATAGGAGAACATTGATTCCAAGGTGGTTGATGAATAGCTTGCGAGAATGAGTTGTGGCAAAGATAGAGCAATTTGAGAGGAATTGTTTGGATCAGAAAAAGAATGAAATTTTCTTGGATTTTTGTCAGAAAAAAAAAAGTGCTAAGAACTCATATGTTGAATTGCTTATGCCTCCATCTGTTATAACACTATCTTATGCCTCCATCTGTTATATAATACTAACAAACCTGGTGTTGTATTTTGTACAATTTACATTGTGTTTTAGCAGAATTATCTGGGGGAATTAATTGTATGTTAGAAGTGGATGTGAAATTGTTTCATTTAGGCGTTGTATTTTGTACTCTGTAGCAGCATATGTTTCTTCTAAGATGTAAATTGAAGGGAAGATTTCATTCATTACCTACTTTTGGTTACTTATGGTAGATTTCTAGGCCTTTCAAATGGGATTCATGTAAAAAAGTGCCAATTGAGAATGTATTTGTGCTTTAGACATTGTATTCTTGCATATGATGACAATTAACTTCTTTATGAGTTGGTTAGGGTTGAATAATTTACATGTCTCAATGCCAGCTTCGACGAACATAAAAAAAAAAAAA